TAATATTACATATGCTAGCCATTTTCTAGTTGGAGCTTGAAAATATATTGCAACTGCATTTCGTTTTATAATCTTGAAGCAGTAAAAAGCGTACGAAACTAAAACGATACACTTCCATTACATATCATGACGTGTACTCGGAGTGAATAAAGGAACGCATTCTTTAGCTACAATAGCTGCAGGAAGTGACGACAAAATTTTATAATATCATTATTCTATCGTAGTGCTATCACAGCACATTGGAATGAATTTCGGAACGGCATTACAGTACTGACAGTGAGTTACGAAACGCAGCTCAAGTCTATTCCTTCTCTTTTACTCTAACGTCATGCAATGATTTCCAATACGGTTCTATTACTTCCATCAAGGAAAATATTTCTTTCTTTCTTTTTCTTTCTTTTATTTTTTCTTTCTTTTTATTCTGATTCTTTTAGAATATAACATCATTCGGAAATCATCTTTCAATTCTTTTTTTTAGCTTTTGTTTTTTATTAGCAGTACTGTCAAAATGACGTCATAATGGTATAGTGTCATAGGGTGCGTTCCTTTATTCATTCCGAGTGCTCATACTACGATATAATGGAAGCGTACTGCGGCTGTCGTTCTGGTTTAGTTTCGTGCGCTTTTTAACTACTTCAAGATTATAAAGCGAAACGCAGTTGCAGTATGTTTTCTAAAACTATAATTGAAATAATGGTTGGCATATCTAATATTTTAAAAAATATAATTTTATTATATATATTAAATTTTGTAAGAATTAGACGACCGTAAGCGGTCATGAAAGAGATTCGGAATATAAACAGCTAACAGAGAGGAGCCGTCGTGGTCGTGCAGACTAAGTGTCGGATTGGTAGACGAGGGATCCCGAGTTCAAATCCAGTTGGTCTACGTTAATTTTTTCCGAATCTAATAGATATCTTTCAATATAATATATATATTAAAAAATAATTAATAATAAAAAATAAATAATAAATAATAAAAAATAATAATAATAATAATAATTTTATAATATTATATAATATCATAATAATTTCATTATATTGTTGTTCCTCATAAAATGATGCACTCGCAGCGGGTTCACTCGCGTTACACTCGCGTCAGGAAAGGAAGAACAGTTTAAGAAAGAAACACTTTATTATACACCGAAATACGAGAGTAATAACAAAAGCTTTCACAATAAAATCAGAATTTGCGATACGGCTCAAACTCTCGCGCCGCGTCGTCGACTCTCTCATCACAAAATTTACATACAACATAATTATTATCTATGGACTGCTTATTGTTATCAAACAGAACTTCTCATCAAGTAACGTGTGTCGTGTATGTAACACATCTTTATCAAATGATTTCAAACCAGTCGATTAATTGGTAATAATTAAATGTAATTTATTACTTTGTAATTTATTATTTGTGAATTTTTCGATTTATTGATCACGTGTATAAATCCGTAAAAGTGTGATATGTGTTTATAATTATATTTCGCGCCTCCTTCTCTAGATTACAACATGTAGTACTTCCTTCGTGTCGCCAGATGTCACATCGGTTAAGAGAAATTTCAAAATAAAACGGGCCCGCGCGCCCCCATCACGATCCGCCATCCTTAATGAAAAAATGTGAAAATTTCCTATGCGCTTGCACGAGTGGCAAGACAATGAAACATAAGTACGCGCTTGCGTAGGTGGCAAGACGTTACGAGATAATAACCTAGATCACTGTAGGAATGATAATTTGTCTTTTAACATTGGCCTGTATCCGTAAATAAGTTCAATTCCTTGTAGAAAAAGAGACACAGAAAAAGAGATAAAATGCCTCCTTTTCTTGTACTTTTTTTTTTAGTTACAGAAAAGAACAAGGAAAATGATTCATCCGTTTTAGAAATAAAATATATCTCAAATAGCGAAGCTTATTTGGATGAGTCAATATTAGAGGTTATGGGGGAGGATCCTAAATCACAAGCTTTAGAGCTGGATATACATCCAACCTTTTTAAAGAAATGGCGCTTCTGGACTGTAAATGGCGTGCCAGAGACCGAAAAAGACAAATTATTAAAAAAATATGTTAGATCATTACAGTTTGAAGCTCCGAGTTTAAATCCAGAAATAGCAGCTTCCTTAGGAGAGTATGCCTGCAAGAGATTTTATGGCGAAGATATACTTGGAGGATGCATATTTCTCAATTCCGATTCATAAGAGGAGTAGAAAATACCCAAGTTTCGAATTTTCTGATGGAATTTATCAGTTTACTTGTTTACCGTTTAATTTATGCACTAGTCCCAGAGTATTTATCAAAGTTTTAAAACCAGTTATTAATCATTTAAAAATTAGAGGATGGAAATCTGTGATTTATTTGGACGACATCTTATATGTAGCGGATAGTTTTGTAGATAAAATGTTTTAGAAACAATTAATTGTCTGGAATCGTTAGATTTCATTATAAATAAGGAAAAAAGTATCTTATTCCCCACAACAAGATGTACATTTTTAAGCTTCGTCATAGACACTATAAAATTCTCATTAGAACTACCTGACAAGAAGAAAATATCGTTAATAAACCTGGTGAGCTCTTTCTACAATAAGAAATCATTATTTAATATCCAGACATCTTTTATCGGAATTGGATTAATGGAAATTGTCACTTAGATCAGCATACTGTGATATCAAGAGAGATATTTTTGATTTAACGATTTTTTCGGATGCTTCAAACACAGCTGGGGGGCAAGCTGGGGGGCATAGTTCTCAACAGGCGTATGGTTTTTGGAACAATGAACAGAAATTGCGGCACATTAATTATAAAGAGTTATTAGCGGTAAAATTAGCTCTAGAAGCGCTAGCTCCAAAAAAGACAAAATGTAACATTTTATTGAGAATCGATAATACAGCCGCAATCTCTTATATAATATAATAAACAAAATAGGAAGTATAAGATACCCTGATTTTAACAAGCTAGTTAGAAGTATTTGGCAATGAGCAGAAAGCAGACAGATTTTTTTGTGGGCTCATACATTCCGTTAAAGGAAAATAAGGAAGCAGATAAACTTTCAAGAATAAAAAATGATGACACAGAGTGGGAATTGGGCATTTGAGACTCGTTGATTCTTTAGGCAAATCGCATTTAGATTGGTTTGCGACTCTGGCTAATAGGAAATGTGATGTCTTTTTCTTGAGATTTCCTATTAATCAAGCTTCAGGAATAGATGCTTTTACAGTTTCATAGTCACAATTAAATTTCTATGTTTTTCCACTTTTCTATGATCTTAAAAGTGTTAACTAAGATTAAGAATAATAAAGCGACAGGAATCGTAGTTATGCCAAACTGGCCAAGTCAGCCGTGGTTTCCATTTTTTTAACGAATTATTAATAGATAAACCATTAATATTTGATCCAGATAAAAGTATATTTTTATCCTTACGCAGGAGAAAGAGATATCCGCAGACCAGACATAAGTTTAATGGCAAGAAGATTATCGGCCAGGCATTCATTTATAAATGAAAGCGTACCAAGACAAGCCATAAAAATTTTACTTGCATCATTATCTGAGGCGACACTTAAACAATATCAATCGGTCTTAAAGTTATGGTGGATATTTTGTAGAGGCTCAAGAGAAGAATTCTTTAATCCATCGGTGAATAAGGTACTAAGATTTTTAACGGAAAGATTCAAAATGGAAGCGTCATATGGTACTATAAATACATTCAGAAGTGCGATTTCTCTAGTTTCAAAAAATAAAATAGGAAAAAATAAGATTATAAGCAAGTTCTTAAAAGGGATTTTTAATTTGAGATCAATGAGACCAAAGTATACCTTCACATGGGACGTTTCGATCGTATTGAAATACTTGGAAAAATTGTATCCGTTAGAAACCCTGTCCTTAAGTCAGTTGACAGAGAAAATGGTCATCTTGTTAGCCTTATGTACAGCACATAGAGTACAAACTTTAGTAAGTATAAGGATATCAAATATTGTTGAAACAAGCACTAACGTACAGATTGCAATTGATAGCAGAATTAAGACCTCAGGACCAGGAAAATTTCAGCCATTATTGATTTTGTCTAAATATAAAAAGAAACCGAGTTTATGTGCAATAGTGCTCACTAGATATTTACAAGTAACAGAAAAATTAAGAGGAGAAGAAAGCAACTTATTTATAGTTACAAAGAAGCTGTATAGGCACGTTGGATTACAGACAGCAAGATGAATCAAAAAGTTGTTACAAAAAAGTGGAATAGACACATCGATTTTCAAAGCGCACTCGGTACGGCATGCATCTACATCAACAGCATTTAAGAAAAGTATACATCTTGGAACTATCAGAACAGCTGGCTGAACTGAAGCGTCATATACCTTTGCAAAATTTTATAATAGACCGATAGTTAAAAAACCAGACACATTTGCGAAGGCTGTCCTGAGTCATAAAAAGTAAATTAGAATATGTAGGGTTTATTTTCTTTTGATTTAAGAATTTCTGGTAAAAAATCCAGAGCAATATAGATATTAAATGATATCAAATGTTAAATTCTCTTTTATTTATTAGTTACAAACTCTGAATAAAGATATAATTATGAGTGATAATTAAAATGCTATAAAATATAAAATAAAATTGCTGCTCCTCTAAATAACTACATGTATTGTAATCTAGAGAAGGAGGCGCGAAATATAATTGAATAGTCGAGCGAACTTACCTGTAAGTGAAGTTCGACTACAATTATATGAAGAGCCTCCTTCGAAGAC